CAGGGGACGTTGAAGACTCACCATTTTGGAATTGTGTTTTCAACAGCTAGTTCGTAATCTTCAACCCTTGGAGTCTCCACGCTGTGATGGGGATATATAATACATTAAACTCTCGATTATTCCCATTCTTTTTTCACTATACATCGCACATACTTTCATTTGCGAAAGTCCAGTGACTTAAGGAGCAAAGTCACTCTAGGATTTTGGAAAACGCAAATTTTTTTCCTTACCTCTGCCCATGGCAAAGCACATGTTTAAACTGGCTTTTACCAGAGAAGCTGACTCAAGATAGCTTAGGGAGATTACGTGTATTATGACCAAACAGCTATGACCGAAACTGGACGCGAAAAAATCCAATCATCTTATCATTCTAGACCTATTCTCCATTAGCATAACGATATATTTTCCCTAGATACTGTAATTTATATACGAGGTGTGTTCAAAACGACGAGAAATTGAAATTGAGAAATTGGATTGGAAAGTCCGATTAACAAACATTATTTTTATTATATTGCTCACGAAGTAAGATAAGCCGTTGTTGAATATAACGAACTCCCTGAACGCCTCAGTATATAAACTATCGATGTAATCGGAGAAAAAGAGAAACGACCGCCGGAGCACAACTAGAGAAGACGCTAATGATGTTTGCATTTCCATCACACCAAGTTATGACATTTTTTTCATTGCTCTGTTGTTGAATATTGAACAAAAATAGCGACGAATAGAATTTGCCGTGGAAGCATGAAATAGAGTCAACAAACGAACGAAGCATTGGTTCATGGATGTGACATCGAAACTAACGCTCAAAACGCAGTGAGTGCATTATTGCTCAGTTGCGCCCTCAAAGCAGTGCCTTAAATTTTCTCGATACTGTGTTTTCAAAATAGCTTGTGGAAAGTTCTTGGAAACAGATTTTTATGATATTTTACACAGATCCTAGAGGTAATAGTCATGAGGAATTTTACCATGTCAAATATTTGCCAATTAAGTCGATAACTTTTTGCGTTTTGAAGGTAAGTCATTATGCCTTTCTCAAAGAAACCATTGCTCCTATTGGAAATAAATTAGGACAATCGATTTTCACAAGCTTTTCTTGAGGCAAATTCTTCACCAGGAACAGATGGTAATCACTCTGTGGGAGGTCTGAACTATGAGGTGAATGTATAAGAACTTCCAAACCAATTCTTGCAGTCTCTATAAATGTGTGTGGTATGGCGTTGTATTTACGAAAGCTGGGCATTTTTATCAGACTATCCAATTGCTGAGAGTACAGGCCCAAATTAAGAGATTGGCATTGGGAAGCATGGTGGCTGATTTCCTGTCAATCTCGCTAAATACACAACAAAACCTTCCTGGCCGTCCATCCAGGTTTGGAGAGTGTTTGTGCCGGCTAACTTCTCTTCGACCACGACCGTTCTCGTTTGACGTTGGTGAAAGTGATTCACTTTCCATCATCAGTTACCAAGCGCTGCAGAAATGGGTCGATTTTATTGCGGTTTAGCAGCGATTCGCAGAAGGAAATTTGATCCATGAGGTTTTTTTGCGCAAACCAGTGTGGCACCCAAACATCGAGCTTATTTGTGTGTGTGCCGAATTTTAGAAGTGTTTCCAAACTGTTTTTTGTGCTATGTTGCTGTGGAGTTGTCTAAACTGTGCTCGCATGACTGTCAGAATCGACGATCAACCTTTTCGACCTGCACATCGCAGATGAATTTTCACAGCAAAATTATCGGAACGAAATCAATGAAACCAAAATAGTGTATGACTGTTACAGTCACAAAGGATCATTAATACTTTTCCCTGGTACTTTCAGGCACGTTTTCGCTTTTATCAAAGAAAAATGGTAGAATGCAGCTTTCTTTCTGGTGTGCCTCTTTGAAATGCGCTCAAACACTACTGAGTTAAGTGATCACCGCTACTCCCATTATCTTTCTGCGTATAAAATATCACAGTCTTAACGCCATCTAGCGTAATCCAGTCGTACTTATGGAACGCGAGATACAGGTCATTAGAGCAATCCATTGCAAAACTAATGGATGACCTTTTTTCGACTATTATTTAAATAAAATAAGCGCTTCATAAAGGCTGAAGTGATTTTCAGAACGAGCTCCTTCTTCGTTGTTTTTGTATCAAATGGAGGAACCGACACTCGAAATCGAATTTCTTCAACTTAATTGAATGTGTCTGAGCACCAAATCGACAAGCTCATACACTTTATTTCTATGAAGTGGCACTCGTTGAGAGATTTTTGTAAATAATAGTTAACCATAAAATATAAATAAAGTCACTTAAAAGGCTACAATAATAAACAATTAATTACACTGTTATCATAAAGACACGTAATAAAATAAAAAACCACAAAATAAATTATAAAAAATTGAATAGCGTCTACAACAGACCAATAAAAATAGAAAGTATCTAAAAGCTGCTTTCATTTTCTCTAATTAAATTTAAAAGTTAAATTTCAATTTTATAGCCACTTAATATATGTGATGGAGTTTATGCTTAAACTATTGATAAAATATATATATATATATATATATATATATATATATAAAGACTTTCATAGAATGGAAACATTTAGAAGCGAATAACGCTAGCCAAGAGTATGCCCAAGCAATTTTTATTTCATTTGTTTCTGTTGTGTGACATATTGAAGCTAAATTACAGTAAAAAATTGGAAGCATGGAAACCACTTAGCAGCGAAGCTCAAACTCTGCCATTGAGAGTGGGAGAAGACGCAGATTGTAAGTGGGAAGAATAAATAATAACCGAAAATACAATAATAATTTTCATTTATCATACTTTACTACTCAGCTGATGTGAATATATTTGATGGCATACGTTTTGGACTGAAAACTCTGGTCAATAGCATACCGAAATATGTAGTCAATCGATTTTCAACCGGAGCACCAAATACAAATTCTACGCTACAGGATCGGCATGGCATATTTGGGTTGAGAAGACCACCGTTGAAGCGTCTGAGAATGCGTTTGAAAAAACGCACGGAAAACATTACTTCTATGGCAGGTGGTCAGCCATCAAAGGTCGTAGTTCCCTTTGAGTCAATCCAAATTGTGGACACAGGTCTCAATATAATTGGCACCGTTGTAGAACCAATGGAAATGAGTAATATGACAACAAATTTATCAAATTTAGAAAGCATTAGTCATACCTAATATTATAATTTAAATATACTTTTTCATTTTCTAGAATTAGATTAATTGAGTCCCATTTAAAGAACTAACAAATATTTGTTCTTTTTTCTGTAACCTAAATCTACAGGGAAAATAAATTACATATTTAATTTTGTTAACCTATATACATACATATATAATACTGTAACGATTTTTGCTAATCCTTTGAATTCGCTCACTGGTTTGTGAAGTGAAGTTTATTGAAATGCGTAGAGTGTTTCGGTGAAATTTAGTCCTTATTGAGGGTTTTCACCTATCAAAAAAAAAAAAAAAATATTTATACAAGAAAGCAGATTCAATTCGTCTAAAATTAAGGGATTACAGATCAATAAATGTACCAAAATATATAAATATGTCTAATTTGGATACAAATATAGATCGTTTGAAGATAGCTTGGTCGCCTTAGTGCATATACTGTCCGTTTTGATTTTGAGGGTTATAAGCCTATTGTGCGGGTTAATGTGAAGGACTTTTCGAAGATTGCCGTGCTCCTCTAATTGTTGTAGTATGGCAACAAAAATTATTATATTGACAAGGATTTCTGAAATAAAAAATATCTGCGCTGCAAACGAAAAAAGGTTTTCAGAGAACAAAACTTGCTCGCCTTCGTTCAAGAGAGTTAAGTCAGTTGACTAGTTACTGAGTGGGACAATCGAAAATCCTCGCAAGGTACACCTTTATATTGTATAAAGTATCACAGTTCGTTGCTCCACAACTCTGGTTGCCGGTAGTGAACGTAATATGCGCGACGAAATACCCAAAATAGAATGAAACTTCAGTACCAAATTAATTGAAGCTCAATGAAGAGGTACTGATAAGGTACCGATTTTGAATTTCTTTTCGGGCAATAATTTTCAGGCAGAAATTTCCCGCTACTATGAGAGCTGCTGATTACATTTGATGTACCTGATAAGGATATGATTACTTTTAATGATCAGTGCGGTAGCGGTTAAGATGTTCTGGTGTTCAGTTGTATTTTCAGCAAATAGCCAATCAGGATAGGTCAGCTTCAGCATCGCTCCCTTGCCATAGAGCTTATGAGAATTTCCATATCAAGATGATTTCACACTGGAATTTCACAGTAAGATTAACTTGGCAGAAATGGAATCGGAAGTGGTCATGGGATATAATTTTTTTTATGGGAGAAAGATCGACTTTCTAAAAATGTGCGAGGAAGAAACAACTCCTTACATTTTTTTAATGACTTCTGCTATGAAAATTATAAAAAAATAAAAGAAAATGTATGCAATTTATAATTAAATAGTAATGAATGCACTATGAAGTCTAATTATTCTGTCAAAGTCGTGGTCTCAGATAGACACTTCTGCCTACTTAGACATTCAAAGGTTTGAACATTCTAAATATGGCTGAAATTACTTGTTGTTGTGCAAGAGACTAGCCTTTTCATCAATATTTTCAATGTTTGTACAGTCATAAGATTTTAATTTTTCATATATTCAATCCACAGAATTCGAATTTTTCATAAATTGATTTTTAATTATATTTAAAATTGTTTGTACTTATTTTCTTACTGATGAGCATTGCCAATTTCATCTTTAACCTTGGCCGCATCTCAATTTTGATGAAAATTATTTAAATTGAAATGCTTCAAGTTTCCACAATTTATTGTCTAAATCATATTTTATAGATACATACAAAAAAACTTATAATTAATATTATTTAATATATAATTTGGTTTTCACTGGGACACTAAATAATTAAATTTGCACTTTCACTGTAACAGACATTACATGTCCTTATAGCTACACATCCGTTCGCGTAACTCTCTTCTTCGCCATTGCTTCACCATATTTTGTTGAAGAATGGTTTGAAACCACCACCAAAACCGCCGCCAAAACCTTTCAAACCACCAAGTCCGCCAAGACCACCGAAACCACCGAGACCGCCAAGACCACCAAAGCCTTTCAGACCGCCTAGTCCACCGAGGCCACCTAAACCACCGCCAAAACCATGACCACCAAGCAGTAAACCTAGACCACGTGCTGAGCGTGCACCATCGCCGTTTTGTGCACCATCAACAACTGATTGATCGGCATTTTCAATATCCAATAGACTAACAGGTGCTATTTCTGGTGCGGCAGACAACTCGATAACAGGCATTTCCACCAGCTCCACAGGCGCAGCAAAGCTCTGCTGGGTAAAGCAGGCGCATAAGACGACGAAAAGTGCACAAATTGTTACAGATTTCATGTTGATGTTATTTTATGTAACTTCGTTCTCAATTAATATTTTACACTTTATATCATAATTTTTTAATATTCAAATTTCCAGCTCGCTGTGGTTCGTTTATGATCTTCAATCCCAGGTGTCGTATGTACTTTTGTTAATCTAAAAGTGCGTGACGGCTTTTATATGGCGCTTCCGCTGCTGCTCTTCAATGTCCACAACAGCTTCTGACCATTATTACTTTCGTAGATAATTCTCTCCAGTCAATGCTACCGACAAATGTGCTCTAAACCAATACGTAACGCGTGTGATGAAGTAACTATGTACATACGTAATTGTACATAATCATTCGAATATGTTGCGCCTATTTGCATAGCAGTCAAGCGCTGACAACATTTTTCAATTTATACATGAAACTGTTGTTGCCGATAGGGTTTAAGCGCACCACGTGCGTAGCTTCCAAGCTCAAGCGATAATCACTAAATCAAATATTTGAGGACTCGCAGGCAGAAAAAATGGTAAGACTCTTTTGAAAAAGCAGAAAATTTACTTTCATTCATTAACGAGGCAAATAAAACCCAACTCGATATCCACTTACACATTCCCATTTCGTAGTTCATTGATTAGATCCATGAACCGTTTTTGAGGTGTTAGCAACAACCGGCGATTTGTTCGGAGCCCAACACTTCTGCTGCTGCTGATAGAATTTGAGCGAAAAATATGCGTTATTTGAGTATGTCTCACATTCACTATTTACATAAATATGCACCCTGTAGGGAAAAATACCAGTTGATAAATGGAATCCAACTGTTTTGCATGCTTCCACTAACTAATTCATCATCTATTTATTTCCCATGTTTGCTATGGCTATTTTTAACACGACGATATAATATGAAATCTCTATGATCCGCCTATGCATCAGCTTTATACTAGTTTTATACCAGTACATTTAGAAATTTCTACTTCTCAAAAAAACCGAAACGAAATAAAACAAAATTTAAATAATTAGAGTATGACTGCAGCGAGTCTCGAACCGTGAATCCCATACGCTACACTGATAACCTGCAACTACTAGGCTAATTTATTATAAGTTTATTAGGAATAAACTCAGCCACAGCGAGACTGGAACTGAGATCCTTATGCTCAACAGTCATTTCGAGCATATTCTGAGAGAAAAGCAGAGAATGGAACTCAGCTGTGTACTGCTACATATGCATACAGCGAGACTCGAACTGAGATCCTTATGGTCAACAGTCATTTCGAGCATATTCAGAGAGAAGAGCAGAGAATGGAACTCATATGCATACAGCGAGACTCGAACTGAGATCCTTATGGTCAACAGTCATTTCGAGCATATTCAGAGAGAAGAGCAGAGAATGGAACTCAGCTGTGTACGGCTACATATGTATACTACTGTGACTTCTGGCTCTTCCTAAAATTCAAGAGAGCACTTCGATGAGACCGTTTTGAGTCGATTGAGGAGATTCAATGTGAATCAGCGCGCTCTCTGAAGGTCATACCAGAATGTGACTATTTGACATGCTTCGACAATTGGGAAAAGCGTTGGCATAAATCGATGTAGAATAATGAATAAGTTGTTAGATCTTATAAACAAATTCACCTTACCTTTTGCCCACAGTAGTATATTCCACTGGTGTGATTTCATCTCTAAAATTCAGGTATATAACTAAAAAATTTTGCACGGTAGTCTACCTTCTCCCTGCAGGGTACATACTACCTATTACACACATACTTATTGATAGATTACTGCATTGGTTATTCATATACATATATATATATATTTAAAATTGAAGCCGAAATTTTCATTGTAGATTTTCAGGTGAAGTTCATTTCATTTAGTATTAATTTGCTTACTTTGCCAGCCACGCATTATAAATAATAAAGAAAAATAAATAATATCATTTTGTGTTATTATAACGCATAAGTCCTTGATATGGCACAAGCAATAAGAGTATCACATAATTGTTAATAAATTTCAAAGAAGCTCTCTCGACCGCGCTGAGTACAAATGAATAATAAAGAAGTTAGTTAGTTTGGAATATGTTTAGCTTGACAGAGATTAAAGCCCACCGTCAACAATCAGATTGGATCATATAAGTATGGCTTAAATAAATCAACCAATGGCTAGATATTCACCACGCGCCAAATTTTGGATAATACCCATGAGAAGAGGGTCGACATTCGTCGCCTTCTCTACGCTGCTATCTCTGAATTCGCAAAATTATACGGATATGTAAACTGAAGTTAAGCACCAATAAGTGCTTTTTCACGCTCATGTAGGACAAGTCCGAACTGTTCGATACTAAGCGAGGTTTCAGACAAGGTGAACACAATACGAGCTGCAGAGCTGAATAGATAAAGTACAATCTTCTATAAGAGTGTACAGTTGCTGGCATACTACGCTGATGTTGACAAAATTTTGCCGTGAGTTCTGCTCACCCCATACTGGCTAAAGAGACGAAGCGACTGGGTCTGGTAGTGAGCGAGACGAAATATGTCCTGTCATTAAAAAAAAATCAGTTATCGCGGCGACTTGGCGCCCACGTCACTTTGGAAAGGCATAACTTCGAGGTCGTAGATAAGTCCATCTTTCTAGAGAGCATCAACACCAATAACAATGTCAGCCTGGAATTCCAGCGTAGAATAACTCTTTTCAACAGGTGCCACTTTCGACTGCCATTGAAAAGTAAACTCCTCCCTCGACCAACATAAAGCAAACTCGTTTGCGTGGGCGATTTCAACATCTAACGAGTCGGCCCTTAGAGTCTTCAGAGAAAATAGTTCTGCGAAAGATAATACAACGGTTGGGCTCCGCCGGCTAGTTCATATGGTTCGGATGGATGTCAATACTCCAGCTTTGAAAGTTTTCGATGCAATACACGGCGATGGAAGCAGAAAATGAGGAAGACCTGTTTGAAAGTTATATACAAGGTAGACCTGTCTGTACTTGGTATTTCCAATTGGCGCCAAACAGCAAATAGGAGATATAGCGAAGAGGTGACTTTGTTTCCAATTGACTACTCAGTCCAGTTAGGCTGCAGACTTTAAACGTGCACTAAAACTTTAGTCGGTTAGTGTAATGTCTATAACATTGTCATCGGAGGGTAGTCCGGTCTTGAATCCACCTGTAAGTCGCTTTTGCTCTGCACAGAGAACAAGTCGAGTATAAAATCGTTCGGCAGTTAGTTGTGTTTGGCTCAAGGAGAAACTATATTAATTCCTAGAATTTCCCTTACTCTTTCGACTCTAAGAGAGTGCAGTTTCTCATAAAAATAAGCTCAACGCCAAACTCTTAAGTTAGCAGAAATAGGCTTAAGAGAAGAAGTTGTTGAATCTGAAGAATAAAAGACAAGCCTGTCTCACAAGAACAGCTCAGAATATTGCTGGTTTGTGTAGTTCTCGACCTTCTTTGAATTGGGCATTCAACAAACGTCATTACACTGTATTTTGCATAAAGACATGGCTTACAAAGTTCATTTAACACAAGAACTCAAGCCGGCAGATGATCATAAACTATGCCGTGTCTTTGCTGATTGGTTCCTTGTAATGTATGAAAGTGAACGGGTATTTCATTGAAGAAACAGCTTGCGTTTCCCCTCGAGGGCTCATCTATCTCAAAAAGTGTCATATTTCTTTGAATATCGAAATAACATCTATTTTTGAAAATTAAAAATAATAAAGTAGTTTTTGTTCAGAAAAATTATTTTTTTATTATAAAAATCATTTGGCTTTGAGGTATCATTTTAAAGGTAAAGCAATTACATTCAACATGTTTTTAATGAAATTATCCATATGAACTTATACAATATTAATATTTATCAAAAAATAATATTCTTAGACTATTTATAAATATATATTATAGTATATAAGGGTAGGAAGCTATTATTGTATATATAATATAATTTTCATATAAAAACATTTTGACACTCTCATTTCGTTCAGAACTGATTTAACTGAATTTTTATTAAATGAACAAAAATTTATCTTGTCACCTTTAAATTTATATTAATTTATTTCATCATTTTAAAGCTGATTTAATACTTTTAAAATACATTTCACCTACACACTTCGAATCTCACTTACGTAGCTAAAATACTTTATTTAAGTTATTTAGAAAACCAGTACAAAAGTTTGATTTTCCGCCCAGCACATGGAATTTTCTTACATACTATATGTAGATAGTATTGTATAACGGTCGCGCATCTAACGCATGTGATTACGTTTTCTTCTAGTTTGTGTTTTCGAACGATTTAAAGTCGACTTGCGATTACTGCGTGTTCTAGGCTCAGCCAGCTCAATTGAACTATTCCAAGCATGTTGAGGCCGCACGGCAGTTGAACGACTTTGGCTAAGATAATTTTCCGCCCGATGTGTTTCGTCACGTAGAATACCGCTAGCAGCGCGATTAGAATCGATAAAACGTTGTTGGAATTCATAAAAACGATTATTCAATTGAATATCATCATTTTCGCCAGTCGAAGGTGGGAAAGCAGGAAATTGTCTCGTCCTGCGTATGTTATCTTTAACAAATGCGCGCGACCATATCACCGGATCCAGGCTGGCATCGTAACCCTCATGATTCGCTTGCCATGGATAGGCAACAGCTGAGGTGATGTAATTCAAGCATAAGATGTATAGAAATATTAGCACAAATGTTGACTTGCTCAAATCGTATAACATTGCTAATTAATGCAGAAACAATGGACGCCAAAAGTACACTTAAAACAGACCGAGAAATGTTTTTTTATAATTTTTTTTTTTAAATTTTTATTTAATTTTTTTAGAATTTTTTATATTATTTTTGTTTTGCTTTTTAGTTTAAATCAAGCTCACACTTATTGATATCACTCATTAAAGAATTCGTCCGTTTGCGTTCGGCTGTTATGAGAAACTGTTACATTTCCTCCAGCCGGCAAGCATACTTATACGACAGAGGAGTTACCGTCATACATATGTTTACATATACTCGTATGTACATATGTATAGCCAAAAATATTTGTGTTTGTAGATAGAAATGTGGCAAAGGAGTTAATGAAAATTCCGGTCTGACTGGCTACAAATGTATTAAAAATATTTTCTAGATATGTATGTATGTACAGATGTATATATATTTATATATAGGTGTGTAACTGTGTACGTAGCTAAATGTTTACTGATTTCTTCAGAACCCTGCTGTTCTATTTATCTTACAACTTTATTTGCTTTCTTCATGTTCTAACTACCTGCGCGTGCGCGTACGTTTCTTCGTTCTTCTTTTATTGGATCCTAATGAATGTGTATATGTATGTAAGAAGATAAATGCGTCGTTGCATTAGTCAAATGTGTACGTATTCGTAATAAACGATCACACTACAGCTGTTTGAGTCACATTATCAATAGAGATTTACGACCTTTTTCCCGTGCGGATCTTGCTATTTGAGTAGGTCGGCCGGCAATCCGATCCTTATCCTGTCACGGGCAGACAGACGTTGCACTAATCACGTAGCGTTGATAATATAAGGCAGTAAAATAGTATTTATGGTGCCACAAATATTTATTGTGTATGGCACATACGTGCGTACATATACAAGTGGCTTAATTGTACATATTCACTGATCCTTTTTAAATACCACGCCTGGATTATATAATCTTTCAATTTCACATTTTGCGTAAGGTTGTTTTGCATTCTTCGATTATATTACGTTGATCTTGGGCACTCTACACACAAGAAGTAACTTTTCTCACCTACTGGTTTCCTTGCGCCATCGTCTACGGTTAGCAACAACAGCGTCGGTCATAGGCGTCGGTAGCATTAATTTGATTGTTTTCATTTTGGGGTAATTAGCAATGAGACAAAGCGTCACCCGTCGTCAGACTCATGAGTGTCAGTTGGTAGACCAGTTCGATCGAAATATGACGTATTTAATGGATTATAGTTTGACGTAATTCTCATATGTCTAGTAGGTACACTGAAAAAAATTGCTGCATTCAAAAATTTTACATAAAACAAAAAAATAAAATAAAATAAATATTTGATTAATATTCTTTATTTAATTTTTTAAATTTTAATTTCGAGAGTTCTGTATTTTAAATCTTTTTTAAAATTATGTACGAAAATTTTTTGTAATTTGGTATTTATGTTTTTAGCTATTATTTTCGTAATCTCGTAAAATTGAGTTTCTTTCATGAAATTGAAGCAATATTATGAGTTGAGTCCCAATAGGCCTATTGATCTAGGTGTGCTGGTAGCAGCAGCTGCATCAACTCAACTCTGAATATTATGAGACTTTTAACTGATCTTTCACACAACACTTACCGAACCCATAAACTCTTCGTTCTTAATGCCTTTATATTACATAGGTTCTTCCTCTGCTTCCTTCAACGGAGCCTATATCGAAAACTCTTAAAGCTTAGAGCATCTTTATCCAATCGTCACTGCCACTATATCTTGATTCAATGCATCAACTCTCACCGGACCAAAACTACTCATACAAAACCTTTCTCTCGAAAACTTCTATTGCCGACTCATCAGATGTTATCATCGTCCATGCTTCCACACAATATTGTAGGGCGGGAATGAGGAGTGCCTTTCAAAGTATCGTTTATGTTCGTCGAGAGCGGACTTTACTTCAACTTCCTACCCAGTCCAAAATGGCACCTGTTGGTTAAACTAATAGACTTTCAAGGCTGACAGCGCCATAGTTTTTTAATGCTGGTTCCAGGGTAGACAAATTTATCGACGACTTCAAAGTTATAACTATCATCAGTGATTTGGAATCCTAGTCGCGATATTTCATCTTGCCCTCGTTCGAAACTTGAACCTAGATTGTGGGAGCTCTTGGCTAAACGGGGATACCAAATTCGGATATAGCAGAACTGGGACAAATAGTTAAGATTGACTTTGTTGTGTGTTTGGTGGGATTGGCAAAAAATCATCTACTCAACCAAACTCTTGATTTTGGTCTATATTGTGAGATCAGATCAGAAGCTCCTAGGGTTCGGTTTTTTTATGATACCACCTTATAGTCCGGATCTTGTTAAAACCGTATATTCTATCTGCCGAGTGATTTGGCTGGTGAAGAATTGGCTTCAAGAAATAGATTGTCCCAATTTTTTGCTAATATGAACAAGATTTTCTGAGAGAGAGCATAATGACATTACGTTTGAAATTGCAAAAAGTTATCAACCAAAAATCGGAAATCTTTGGCTATGGGAAATTTCAATTAAATATAGAAGTAATGGATTATTTTTAACTACACCTAGTATTATTCCTATAATCCAGAAGGTGGTCCTGGAATCGATCAAATGGGGCGGTTTTGTGCCATGGACTATATATATGGAATGTACAATAGATGGCTCTTTGTCTATGGTAAGGTAATGGGAAATTTTTGTCGGGTCCGTTCTATACGATGGAATCTTACCTATGCTCGACTTGTTTCAAATCTGAAACATAGAAAGGCCTTTAACCAGGCTAACATATGGAGACTTTTATTTCTTTGTCATAGCTTTTAACATAATAAGTTATAATAAAATAAAATTAGAATCATCTTAAATTTCATCCGGACGACATACAGATAGTACATTTCTAGAGCTATCAATGAGAGATCGAACGTAAACTGTAGGACAAAAAAGCTACTGTTGACTTGGAAGCAAAAATTTGAGCTTCTGTTCAACACGTGTGAGAGAAAAACTTTTTAAATTTTTTTTCAATAAAAAACACTGAATTGTTGTATTTAACTGGCACTCGAGCGCATCCATGCAGCTCAAGTTGATTGAGGAGAGAGTTTATTTAACTTGAAATTTTCGGGAAAATAAAAAAAACCAACCGAAATAAGAACAAAAATGAAGGGTGCTAATCAAATTAGCGTTTGGGTTGCGTTCGACAAGATAAATGGTGATTGTCAGTAAGTAAATTTAAAAAGGAATCAAAACATTTTAGGAATGAGGTAAGTTTGAGAGCGAAAATGTCCTGTTTAAATTAAAATTCACAGCTCAAGTTAAATAACTATTTATTTAAAATATTCAATATTATAGCTCCTGCATAGAAGATAACCCCCAAAACTTAATTAAAAAATCACCAATTTGAATATTTTATATTTTTTTTTTTTGAGACTACCATATAGAATTTTTGTATCATGATACAATCTACGATGTCAACATCTGATGAGTCTCGGCACTAGGAGTCTTCCAGGGAAAAGTTTTGCGTGCGATTTATGGTGATTTGCGTATAATTCACAAATTGATTGATGCTATTTTTGTGACCATAATTCCAAGAGTGAAAAAAGGGGCGAAAAATGAATTCCAGCTATCAAACTTTTGCAGCTACAAATATGAGTAAGTAATTTGGTATTCATTTTATTTATTACATTTTCAATACTTTCTGCATTTTTTTTTTAGATATTCAATGAACACAAAGAGCCACCAAAGGAAAATCGAACGTTACCTTGGGTTTTTAGAAAGCAATTCCGAGATGATCGGAACACGAATGGGCTGGTCTTCGGGATGGAGTAGCTTGCTCGATGTGCTCAATGCAACAGAACATTGAATGATATAAGAAATCTTTTGAAGCCTTTAAAGCTTTATGATGAAGTTGATGACATTGGGATCTCACTCATTAAAGTTACAAATGGCAAACGGCTTGGGGCACTTACCTATTGAGTGCTATAAAGGTAATTGTTGAAAATATAGCATACAATTTTTGTTTTATTTTAATAGTAATTTTTAATTTTCCTTTTTCATTTCAGGTAGCGTCGCAATCACACATCTCGAGTGATGTAGAAATAAAAACAGATTTTTTTTTTTGGGAAACAACAACCAGTTTTTGGGAAATTGCTATTGGTGGTGGAGCAGCCAGATCAGTACCGCATTGAGGCTCAGGAACGTTTAATTGAGCGTTAGTCTGCCCTTCAGATATTGAAGACTTCTCTATATGGGGACAAGGTGATGAAAGATTTATGAAATAAATATCAGAAGGATTTCTTTTTGAGAAGAACTATTTGAATCACTATCGTCGAACGGACAGATAACTTTTTTACGTTAAGAAGTACGCTCAGCATCTGCTTGATATTCGTCCAGACAATTAAAAGACTGAAACATACTTTCATCACGTTTGAGCTTCTGTTAAGGTGGCTAGTTCATGCCATATTTCACTAAACCCATTACGTGTCTGGCGAAACAATTTAAATAAATCCATTTCAGTCGATCTATAGACCACCGTAGACCTTCGCCATCGCTAATAGCGTCAACAATTCTCCCAGTTAACTCAGCAAATTTTTGATGAGTCAACCCATCACAATGCCAATAAGCGACAAAGCGCTCAGACTCAACTTAAATAGCAGAGTTAGGGAGTGAAAAAGATAAAAAATAAATAAATAAAAAAAAATAATTATAATTAATTTAAGGTTTAAAATACATAAAAATACAATAAAAAAAATTGTAAAAATACAGAAACATAAACGATTGTAAGATTTCTGAATATCTAACGAAAAAGACGCTTTAAAACAAAACGCTGTTAAAAACAACGGTTCATTTCATAATTTACTGTTCTTCTTTTCTATTTAAAAAAAAACTACCTTTCTTCGCCATCGATTTCTAGCAAAATCAATAAAAAAGCAGCGAGTTCCTCTTCCGTTCTTCTAATATTTTTTACAACAATTATGTAAACAGAGCAAAAGTCGTTTAGTTTTATTTTTTGACCTTAGTAAATTTCAAATAGTATCAAATTGATGCTTTTGAGACAAAAACAAAATTTTGCTGTATGTTTCATTTATATATCTCAAAAACTGAGAGGCTGCTCTTCAGATAGATAGGCAAACGAACGCAGCTAGAAGAACTAGTTCTTAATATATATACGAGATGTGTATGGTGATGAAGCCTTAAGAGGAAGACAGTGTCAAAATTG